ATTGGTTTCGATTTTCAGTGCCACCATGAAGATGAACATTTGAGAGAAGAATGATCATTTCAGTTTTGGATTTGGAGCTTCAAACTCAAAAACCGGTTTTAGAATGAGTACGAGAGGAGGGAGAAACTTAATTGACGAAAGAGAGGAGTATGAATATATAATTTTATCCATGTTTGAAACAGAAATGTTAACAAAGGACTATTTGTAAAAAAGAATATAATAATTGGGGACTAAATTATTGATATTTGATATATAGGAACTACATATGTAAAACAACTTATAACTGGTTTTTTTTTATAAAATTTACTCTAATAATAATAATAATAATAATAATAATAATAAATGGTGATATATTACTTACTCCCTCCGTCCCATTTTATAACGTCTGTTTCGGTTTACGATGTTTGACTGAAGTTATTTTCAAATCATTTTATATGACAAATGGTATAGAATTAAAAAATAAAAATTACATATCAAAATACTACATCAAAAGATCTACAAAACTAGTAGTGACAACAATATTTTATTTTATCAATTTGCTAACGAAAATAGAGAAAGAAAGTGAATGAAGTTTGACCCTGTGAATAGTGAACAGGCATTATAATTTGGGACGGAGGGAGTATTACCTAATAGAGAGTAACACTTAACCCATAATAAATACTCCCTCCGTCCCGCTATATTCGTCCACTTTTGACTTTTGGAACTGTTCATCTAAGCACTTTGACTCATCAAAATTCTCTCAACGTGTAAGCCTAAATATAGTCATGCGTGATCTTATTTGATTTGTCTTAACATATAGATTATTAATATATAATTTCTATAATTTTTTAATATACAAATTACAAGATAAAATAGATTAAAGAAGTACTCCCTCCGTCCCAAAAAGAATGTTACGTTTCATTTTTTGCGCATCCCTTAAAACACTTTTATATCATCTCAAATGCCAAAAAAACTTTAAAAACAATTTCATCTTATAATAAAGAGTAAATATGGTAAATTTTAGAATTTTTAGATGTGAGTAGCAGTGCTTTTTGTGATACGCAAAAAAATGAAATGTAACATTCTTTTTGGGACGGAGGGAGTATATTGGATGGTGTGCAAAAATGAAAGTGGACAAATATAGTGGGACGGAGGAAGTACTAATTACCATTCATGCAATCTCACAAAGGTTGTGCGATCGTTCAAATCTGGGCCCATGTAAAACCCGTCATCTCTAACCAACCAGTAACACCTGTAGTGATACCTCTCCGGATAATGGCTGCAGCGGTTGTTCATGTAATCATTGGTGAACACATCGAACACGCTGTCCTTCCTCCTCGACGCCGCGTCCTCCATGTAGAAATGGCAGAAGAAGAGCGTGTTGTCAAAGATGGTGTTCTTGAAGTGCCACTGGAACTCCTCCGCGGTGTCCAAGATGTGGTAGCCCAAGTCGTCGTCTCTAGACTGACAACGGACCAGAATTGGCAGCGACGACATCTCGTTTATCACGTGAACGTCGACTTTCGAGTTCATGACGAGCTTCGAGTCTTCGTATTGAGACGGCGGCGACGGTGAAGAAATGACAACAACAACAAAGAGATTGATGATGATGATGATCGTGATCATCATCATCATCAAAGAATTGTTGTAACTATGGGTCTTCATCATGTTTGCTTTAATATATGAATGTATTCTATATGTATATATGTACAAGCTCTAACCAACAAGTTATTATCTTACTGTATGATTTGCAATTCCTATCCAATTTATCCTAAAAAAGAAAGTAAATAAAATGAAATTCGATTTTCCATACTTAGAGATCGAATAATAACTACACACTCGTAGTTTATATATATGATAGTGTGGGCATTATATATATATATGATTTTCCATTTATATCCGATTTATCCACACCCACACAAAAAAGGAATGATTTGTATGTGTTTTTGGTCATTTTCATCCACATGTAAGTGTATAAACGGGTCTGTTATTATTAACTCTCTATTTTCGAGGTAAAAAACTATTGATGGAGAATTAATAATGATTATTAAAAAATAATTCTTTCATGAGAAATTTGTAATGTCACACCTAATCGGCGATCTAGGGGGGTGCAGGGGGGCTGGGTGAGATCGGGGTGAAATTGAGGGGGAGGGAAGGTTTAGGAGGGGGTTAGGGCGTTTATTACTAAAATTTAATTAAAAGATAGAGAATTAATGATATTCACATACTCTTCCTTCTCATAAAAATATTCTAAATTACTCCCTCCGTCCCTGAGTGTTTGTCCACTTTCATTTTTGCACACCATCCAATGCACTTCTTTAATCTATTTTATCTTGTAATTTGTATATTAAAAAATTATAAAAATTATATATTAATAATCTACTCCCTCCGTTTCTTAAAACCCTTCCTCTTTCATTTTTTTTGTTTTTCTTAAAACACTTCCCTTTTCTATTAAAAAACCACTTTTACCCCTACTTTTTCATGCACTACCTATCACATCATACTTTTTCACTAATAACTAAACTATCACATCCTACTTTTACCCATCACATCAGGGGCAAAATTGGAAAGTCAACTAAAATTACACTTTCCTTATTTTGCCTCAAAGTCAAAACAAGAACCGTTTTAAGAAACGGATGGAGTATATGTTAAGACGAATCAAACAAGATCACACATGACTATTTTTAGGCTTACACATTGAGAGAATTTGATGAGTCAAAGTGCTTAGATGAACAGTTTCAAAAGTCAAAAGTGGACAAACACTCAGGGACGGACCAAGTATTATTTATTTAAAATGAAACATGCGGTGATAGATACGATGTGGGTAGTGAATGGTCATAATTCACTTTTTAAACTAATCAATTTCATTGTTTATTTTTATAATGTTATTCTGTCGCTATCAACTCAACTAAATACATGATATCTTAAATAATCACTGAACAATTAATATGTACACATTGGTTCACATGACTTTGGCACCCCGGGTCATAACATGATCCGGGGCCTAGCCCATTAACCTCCCTCCCCTTCGTCGATTGGCTACAGTATTCAGTATTCACTGTAGCTGGGGACTGAGGGGGTGCAGGGAGTTTTGGGAGTAAAAACAATCAATTTTTTCAAACAAATTGTCGTAGGCACCCTGGGTCATGCTACGACATATGGTGCCAATGCCATTTGAACCAATGTGAATAATGAATATTAAAAAATTGGAGGAATTGGAGATTAGACAATAGAGACCTGCAAATCATATGGTATAACTAAATGTACCTTCCTTTTAGTACATTGTAACAAACTTGTAATTAAATAATGTTCCAGAAATCAGAATGAATATTATGTTATTTTAAAATAACACTACATTGTTTCAAAATGAACATAATGAACATATTTGAGAATGAAAACTATACACAGCAAGTTTCATAATAAACACTACGATTGAAAATGAACATTCTGTTGATTCAAAAAGAAATTCTATTGATTCAAAACGAATATTCAAAAAAGGAAAAATTATCCAAAATAATCCCAACTTAACCCGGTCTTTAAAAAATAATCTCACCTTTCACTGTGATGCATAATAATCCCAATTTTACTGAAATTTACAAGTTTTGGGTCGCCGTTAAGTTTCTAACGGAGGGTTAACGAAAATGCCTGTTTTGGGCAACAAAATGAAAGTTGGGATTATTTTTGATGAATTTTCATTTTTTTTAATTTTTTTAAATTTTTCATTTAAATTTTTAAAATTATTTTCTACCTCCATCATATTTCTTTTTCCTTTTTTAAAGATTAGTCTTATTTTAAAAAAATAAAAATAATAGATATAAAAAAATGAAAAAATGAGAAATGTAACTAAAATGATACAAAAATAATAAAATAAATAAGGTAATTAATGGAAACTAACTTGAAATTGGTAAAAGTAAAATAAAAATATACGGGTGGGTTTTAATATTTTACGCACTATACAAAGTATTAACATATCACTTCTTATTTTTTAGAAAAAATTATCTACAATAATTCCAACTTTACCGGACGTCTTGTTCTTTTAAAAAATAAGTAGTACATTAAGACTCCGTATAGTGTGTAAAATGTTAAAACCCACCACTCCGTATATATTTATTTTATTTCTTACCAGTTTCTGTTTAATTTTTATTGATTACATTATTTATTTGATTTATTTTGTATTGTTTTAGTTATTTTTCTCATTTTCATTATTTTTTATGTCTATTTTTTTCTAAGGTAAGAATAATCTTTAAAAAAGAAAAAGAAATGGAGGTTGAAAGTAATTCAAAAAATTTAAATAAAAATTTCAAAAAAATTAAAAAACAAAAATTCATCAAAAATAATCTCAACTTTCATTTTGTTGCCTAAAACGAGCATTTTCGTTAACCTTCCGTTAGAAACTTAACGGCGACCCAAAACTGGCAAATTTCAATAAAGTTGGGATTATTATGCATTAGAGTGAAAGGTGGGATTATTTTTGAAAGACCGAATAAAGTTGGAATTATTTTGGATAATTTTACATTCAAAAAATCATAGAAATTTGGTTCCGGAACCAGTACCCCCTACAACCTATTGGTAACGCCTGGGAAGGTTCCGATACTTGTTCCCCTACCTACCCTCATCGGTTTTGGTCGCGATTCTAGTCCCGGATCCGCTTGTTTCTATTCTACTACCGGCCCGGAACAAGACTCGTGCCCAGGTCTACTCGAGGATGCATGTTTTATTAATGTATGTCTCCATTTGGGTTCTTAATTAATGTTACTATTTACATTTAAACACAAAAAAGGCCCTTCCAAGTAACTTCTCATTCTACGGTTTCTACCAATAACAGCTAAACCAAATGTTGAAACAGTTTAAAACAACAATGGCAAACAGCTAAACCAAACAGACCCTTAACTTAAGCTGTGTCGAATGAAGCGAGGTACCCCAAGCATGACTCTAGTATTACAAAAAAAAATTAAAGTACCCCAAATTTGACCTCATTTTTGGGAACAGTGCTCCGTGTTTGTGAAGAATGTAAAGGCAATGGTGTCGAAAAATGGGGTCAATTAAGCTTGGCGTACCCCAAACATTAGCCATACTTATTACAATCCAACCATAGAATCAATCAGTAAAAATGACCTTTTGCTACCAATCTCAATCTCATGCATCCGTTTATGCACTCATGTCATTGCAATAGCTAGAAGTGAGTAATAGTCATCACATTACTAACCTTACTTGGAAGACGACGTGGATAGATATTTCCTTCGTTTATAGGTCACGATCTCCTTGGACGGTTCGTGTGGAGCATACTCACTGCTTACATGCCCTAAAGAACATCTCTGGTTCACATTATTTCGGGTTCCCTCTGTAACCTCAATCCCAGAATCATTTTTGTTTGGGTCACTATCAAGATTGTTTATAATAGAGAATGGCAAATCGGTGCAAGGGAGATTTTCTCTTGTATCTGGGAAATGGTCAAGAGAAGGCATCTCCTCCTTGGCAATGTTGTCAGCAAAAATCCCATTTCTAGCAGTGGGTCCAACTGTTTGTGAGGAAGACAACTGTGTCTTCACCCAGACGGCTAAAGAGAGTGCGTGATCACGGATCAAAGAGTCAAAAGGCGGGCAGTGGAGCACCTTAAGCAATGCCTGCTTATACTGAAACATACTCACGGAGAACAAACCGGGCCCACCTTCACGAAGATATTTGATGCTTTTGAAAACGTGCTCGCATAAGTTGCCCATTATTGAAGAATCACAATCACAGAGTGCATATTCTGAGGAAGACAGGTTTCGTATAACATGGACTACCGTTCGGTCTCCCTGGTCAACGATGTTTGCACAGTCACCGTTTATTGCCACGTCAGCATCAGGGATCAGCAGAGATCTTCGCCAGGCTGTCAATCCACTTGTCCATTCGTCCTTCCAATACCGCACGAAATCATCCTTGTCGGAGTACTCATCAAGCCAGAAATAAGAATGCACTTTTGTGCCCAGCTTATCTGCAAGCCAATCCGCACGTTTATATACACTCGAGTCCCTCTCGTTCAACAGCCTGAGCTTCATTTGGTTGTGGTAAAACTCCAATGCTGCACATGTCTCTTGGCTGGCAAGAGGAAGTGATCTGAGTGCACTAGTCCATAACCCTGGCCGAACGACAATTTGTTAGAAGTGATCAAAAAGAGAATAGGTACAAGAATTTTAATGAAATGTTCAAATGAGAGTTCGAGACCCACAACTTTATTGAGATAGCAACAGTTTAGTTTGCCTTCCGTCCCAAAAAGAATGTCACGCTTCACTATTAAAAAATCACGGGAACTTTTGTTTATTTGTACGTTTTCGTTGATGGTTTGATAAAATAAAATTTTCTTGTCACGTCTAGTTTTGTAGAACTTTTGACGTAACTTTTAAATATGTAAATTGTATTTCTATACCAATCTTTAAATAAAGTTAATTGAAAAAACCTAAAATTTTGCTTTGTTCTGCGTAATGTGGGGCATTCTTTTTGGAATGGAGAGAGTAATTTTCATCTCACTTTGTTTTTTGATCCGTCCATCCCATATCCTTTTATGGCAAAGGAATTCGTCTTATATGTATTTCCACTTCTATAATACTCCCTCCGTCCTAAAGAGAACATCACCGTTTAGTCGTTCACTATTCAAAAATCACGAGATCTTTTGTTTATCTGTGTGGTTTCATTGATTATTCTCACATCTTGTTTTGAAGAACTTTTGACGTATTTTTTAAATATGCAAGTTTTATTTTTTTATTTCCATACCAATTTTTTAATAAAATGAATTGAAAAAACTTGAAATTTCACTTTGTTTTGCCTAATGTGATATTCTTTTTGGGACGGATGAGGTAATTACTTACGAAATCTCCACTGTTCAACTACACTATTCACTTTATTCATCTATACTAGCCCTTTTGAAAAATCAAGGGCAAATGTGGAAAGTCAATGTCTTTTCCACTCTTATTAATATGTGTGCCGCGTCAAACCGAGAAGAAAATTCTTGAACGGAGGGAGAATAGAGTAATGTATGCATTACCTAATCTTGGATACCACGTTGCCTTGAAGTAGTCCACAAAGTCGGCAGCATCCGCGAAATCTTGCATAAAATCTTCAAACAAATTTGCTGTTTCTAACCCTTTGCAAATGCTATGTATCATCTGACCAAGCCTTTTTGCTATAGCAGCCCGCAGATCCATTTCTGAGCATCTTTTCATTAGATTTTTATGCCATGCATAACGCACCCGCCAAGAGCATATTAGGACAGAGCACTGGAACACATCCCTTAGTAAGAAAAACAGAAAAATATGTCACATTTCAAAAGAAATTTGAAAGATAAATCAAATGAAATCAATCCATGCAATTTTTTAATTGATTATCTAGAGTCAAACTGGACGGAATACATTGGAACACACATAAAAAGAAGAAAAATGGATCTCATGTAAACTCGAATGATGTGCAGTGCAAAATATTGAACCATATATATATTGAAAATTAGTGAATGATGTGAATAACAATAACCATTTATCTGTGGAACTACATCAAGAAAATGTATATGATTTGCAGTTTTGCACGGATCACTGCATAAAATTAATACTCCATCTGTCCCACTGTTTTTGGGACATGAAGGAGTGACAGTTCCACGGAAGTTAAAACAAAGAGTAAGATTGTGTGGTTGATATTGATATTAAAAAGTAAGACAAAATAAGAATGAATGTGAACCACACAAATATGACCAAATATAGTATGTGCCAAAAAATAGTGGGATTAACAAAAAAGGTAAAAGGGATAGAAATAGTGGAACAAGGGAGTAATATGAAGCTCTAAGAAGCCAACCTTATAGACAGGATGTCAGTCAAAGGATCATCCACAATGAACCCAGCTAACTTCCATGTAGGATCTTTGGTACGAACTCTATTATAAAGAGCCCTCATCCATCTAACCATGTCTCCACTTGCACACCTAGGTGCTACTATCCACGCAACTGGGATGGCCTTGTTGTCTGAATTGAACACAACAAGACTGTGAATTGGATACTGAAAAGAATTTGGATAGAAAAGAACATGTTAAGCTTTCAAAGTTTACAAACGTGTTCTAAGGTCCGAAACTATGAACATACTGAGAGATCAAAATTATAATAAGGAGCACATGTGGCACCAATTTAACGTGCCCGCATCACTAAATTTGGAAATAAAGTCATGTAGGTGTATGGGTCTCATTAAACTCGCAGAGGCCCAAGTGGACCCACATGATTCTATAACCAGTTACTAGTTACCACGTCTGGTTATGTGGGGCACATCAAATGTCTGTTTGGTAAGTGTTAGTTGGCTAAAATGGCTATATGTGGTGAATTTTTTAAAAGGAAGTGTTTAGTAAAATCAATTTCAGCCAACTAAGTCTGCTACTTAATTAGAATAAGCCGGTTAATACTAGCAAATGGGCCCTAACCCCCTGTTTGGATTGATTTTTAGGACGGAAAATTTGGAAGAAGAAAATAAAATTATTTTTCCTCTTACACTATGTTTGGTTTGTGGAATTCAAAAGGAACAGAAAAGAAATAGTTTATCTCCTTTTCCTCACTAAAACGAAAGGAGAAATCATTTTCTTTCTTCTTAGTGCATGTTCTTCTCTCATTTTCTTTTCTTTCCTCTCTAATCAACAAGAAAAGCTCTTTTCTCTATCATTTTCTTTTCTTTTTCCTTTCAAAATTCCTTAAACCAATCATATTGTTAGTGTTAGGATATAATGGGGTGGAAGGAAAATAAATTTATTTTACCTCTTAATTGAAACTTATTACAATATTATGGAGTAGTTACTATTTAAACTTTCCTCCCAATTTGAGAGGAAAATAATTGAATATTTTCCATCTTACTTAATTTTCCTTCCTCTTCCAAACATAATACGTATACATACCTCTATTTTTCACTCAAATATTTCTTTCCTCTCCTACTTTATCCCTTCCAAACAAGGGGTAAGAGTGCCCTCACGGCCTCCTTGGATTTTTTATATAGAAATCAGACCTTGAGTTTATTTGTTCCAAATTTTGAATCAGACACTAGAAGGCCACGGTTCCCAAACCGGATCATCTGTTGCAACTGCCATTCTGTTTGAATACCAAGGACAAAAGGATCGGAATCCGAGAAATCCTTGTAAAAGAAGATTTGGTTCTGGTGGCTTTCAACCCACAGTCCAATGCTTACTGCATCATCTTCATCCAGTTCATAAATAGACCGCCTAATGCTTCTCTCTTGTCTCCTAACATACCTGTGGGTTAGAAGGTCATCTCGGTTGCACGGACCCCCCTGTCTCTCCACTGATTCATTATGCCTCTGCATAATGGTCTCCACAGACACTCCAACATGAAGTAAAGATAGCACACGGAGACGAAGATCCTCCGAGATATAGGGAGCATACATAGCATTGGTCCCAGCAGCTTTCTCGTCCTGTGGGCCATGACACGGCAATCCTTTCTTGTCCACATGTTTATCCTGGTTGTATATGATCAGTGCCACGGATGGCTCAGCAATCAAGCGTTTAACTATAAAATGGCATGTGCACCCTCTCTTTGTATTTGGCCTACCAGCAGATTTTTTCTTGGGGACATATGTGGTTCTGCTAGGTCGGACGACACCCCCTTTCCTATGGTCGTCTGGTCCAAACGAACACCAGTACCTAAGATTACATAAGGACAAAAAAATGAGTTTTAACAAAATAAAGAACTATGTAGACACTAGACAGTAATAAAATACTAAGTAAAATAATTATTCCCTCTTTCTCAAAAATAAGTTTCAAATTTACATTCACAAGTCAAATTATATCTTATTTCCTTATGTATTCTTGTTGATCATTCGACGAAATAAAACAGTCAAGCCACTTTTTATTTTATAGAATTTTGATGTAGTTTTCAAAATAGATTTTTTATTTTGCGCCAATTTTCTAAGAAATTAAATTGAAAATAACTTTAGTCAAACATCGTGAACCATAAGTGGAACCTTATTTTAGAACAAAGGGAGTATGTAATAATACAATAATAAAACAACAACAACAATTATAATAAGTGATAAAATTATTAGTACACTTGATTTTAAATTTTGTTTTTAGCCTTTTGCGAACTTTAATTTGACATTTTAGATGTATTTAGTGAGAAATGGAAGTTTTTACTCTAAAATAGGTACAGGAAACAGCATCTTACAGTATATACTCAAGGACACCATCAACTTTTTGCTTGAATGTTGTTTTTGAGGTTCTTCTTCTTCTGGCTTCAACATGGAATTTGGTTGGACATTCTTTACTAGCAGATTCCCCGCGTACAAAGTCATCTACTCTCGCATATGGGATTAGAGCAACTCTATCAATGTTATCACGCCAACCTTCTACCTTAGACCACACAAGGTTGGACGAAGAGAACTCTAAGTTGGGAGGATTCTGTACAGGGAGGGACAGAATCTCATCCCACCTGGCCATCTGTAATTGGAAAAAAAACAGAACAAGAAAATTAGAGAAATGAAGCCTCAAATGACCACGGAAAATTTATACCGCACTTTTGCATACGTTGAATGACAAGTGGGATAAAACCATGAATTCTAATACGTTGCACCAATATGGATACATACGATTCAAATTGACTGAGCAAGAGAAATGCATTCTGAAAATCTTATTCTGCATTGAAGTGATTGAAGCATTGGGAAATCACTCAAATCAGTTTGATTTTATTTATCTTAATTCTTAAATTGGTAATCTCACCCTACAAACTTTTACATTACGATCTGTTGTGTAAATACTCCTATATACAAGACACCGTCTTGGCGGAAAAAAATAAGATGACAAACTCATTAAAGAACTTATTTGATATTTTACCCACTCTTTAACAAGACATATTTTGGAAAATGGACAACTAAATTCAGCCAGAGTATTCATTACTATGATAATGAACCCATTAATAATGAAGTATAGCAAAACTACTTTGTATAACATAAGGTTTACACAATTTAGGAGGGGAAGGCATTTGGAGGGGTATGAACTCTCCCTCATAACCCTTTATTTTGCTTCTTTCTAAATTGGGGTTAAATGGAGAGAAGGGAGAACAGCTCTTATGAATTTTATTTACTCAAAACCCATTACTTTCTTTTAATTTCATTCCAATCCAAACAAAGGATGGTTTCTATCCTTTAGAATTCCTCCCCTCCTCGAAGCATTTGATCCGAACATCATTGAATCTCTTCCACTCGCCTCCTTTATCATTCTCTCCTTCCCTCTCCTTTAATAAAAACACTCCCTTCAAAACAGGGGGAATTTGGAAGGGAAAGGAAAAGAAAATGGCAAGGAAAGCAAGTTTGGTTTATGGTTAGAAAGGTAAAGAAAAGAAAATTGGGAGGAAAAGAAAATGTGAGAACAATACAACACAATTGGATCCCACGAGAGTAGGATTTGGGGAGGTGTGTACTAAGACCTTGCCCCTACTCGAATGTAAAAAGGTTATTTCCAAGAAGCCCCTGACTCGAGCAGCACAAATAATATAAGATCAAGCACAAATAATATAAGATCACAAAAGATACATAAAGCAGAGAAAGAACAAAACACAAAAAGGCAAAGAACAAACAAATATTAACAAAGTAAAAATATTGCAACAAAGAGCACCAAGCATACAAAGCACATAACAACAAGTGCAAAAACTACGACCTATCCCTAAGCGCCAACCCAACTACCATAATCCTAGCTCTCCGAACCTCCATATCTAAGGTCATATCTTCAATCCGGACAAGAAGTCCTAGGTTGAATCTGATCGCCTCCTTCCAACTCATCCTAGGTTCGCCCTTTCCCCTACTCCCACCCACAAACACAATATAATCGGAGATACTATCTTGTAACAGAGTTATTAGTGTTAAAAACACACGACAGCAACCATAAAAAAGAAAAAGGTTAAACACCTGCCGTCGAATTGTGGAAAATGGAGCTCAACCATTAAAGAGCTAAATACGTGGTTGAATTTCGAAGCTAAACAGAAATAAAAACATTAGAAATGAAAAAGAAGGGAGAAATTGCAGACCTCTGTTAACGTCGCCGGAGAAAAAGAAACGGAAGAGCGGAGACAAAGAAGAAGCCCTTCTTCACCCTCTGCCGTCTACAGTGGTTGAGGTTTTGCAGAAACAGGAAGATACAGAGAAATGATGGGCCAAAAGCATTTGGGATTTGGGCCTGGCAATGAATGGCCTTTTGGAGTCAAATCCTTACTATTCGGTTGGAGACTTTTCTTGGCCCTCACTCAATTCATTGGCATTTACTTTAATGATGAAAACACATTAACTAGAAATATTAGTGCGGATGCTTATGGACTTATTGTTCATAAGTAATTTTCAACTTATAAGTTGCTTATAAGTCAAATATTCTTTCATAGAAGTAAAATAATGTAAATAATAGATAAGTCATTTAGAAATCTTCATAAATGGTGATAGACAATTTTTAAAATAATTTGATCAAAACGGAGAAACGGAAAAACTGCTTAAATATAAATAGTTAAGACCTACTTAGAAGATGTGTGGGAGTGTATTTGAAAAATGCTTTTGAGCTTGGACTTCATTCAAACATAATTTAAGTGTTCCCTAATCTGTTTTAGATTATGGATTGTGATTTTAGAAATGTAAATTGTGCTCCATAAGTGATTTTCACTCAAGCTTAGACTAATTACTTTCTATTTATGATTTAGCATATTTGTTTTCTCTAGACTCGTAGTAATCACAAACACCCTCTTGTTTTTTTACTTATAAGTTAACTTATAAGCACACAAATTTATTAAAAATTTTAAATAAAGGGTACATGTTTTATTAAAAATAATATTGTTTAAATTAAATTTTATACATACAATGTCACAATTCACCCTTTAAAAAAATAGTATTGTATTGGTACAAGATGAAGATCAAAGTCATTCAATATCATTTTATTATTTACAAGCAAAGTTAAATTTTCAATATTCAAATATTGAAATGAAAGCTCAAATTTATACATATAACACAATTTTGTTTAGAAAAAAACATGCACACAAATTTAATAGACCATAAGGTTAAATAATAAATGTTAATGATTCCCTACATTATAAAAATAATGATTTTTTATAATTAATACAAAATTATTAGACATAATTAGTAAAAAATATATATCAATTATTGTACCCTCGTACTAGTAATAATAATAATAATAATAATAATAATAATAATAATAATAATAATGATAACAAGAATAACAATAATAACCATAATGATAATGATAATAATTATAAGGTGGAACATTATTAAAAGAAAGAAATTTCTATATGAAATATTCCACATGAGGTTTTCTAAATCATTTAATTTTATTTTCAATTTAATTTATTTGACTGTAGGTATTAATTTAAAAATAAAATTTATATAATGAAAAACTACATGAAAATTTTAATTTAATTATGTGAATAGTGTTTAGAAGATTCACGGAGGATGAAGAGAGTACTGCCGAGTACTAAGTACATAAAAATCACCATAAAAATGAGTAAACATAGAGAAAGTATTAAAATATTAGTTTCATGTTTTTATTACCAAAATATGAGTTTACTATATAATAATGAGTAATTGTATATGGACATTTCACAATATTTTTTGATAATGTATATGGTCACGATTGACACTATATGTATATTATAACTCCTAGTTTAGAAAAAAATAATATAAGACTCCTGTTTTGATAATTTTCCAGGGAAAATTATCTCTAATAATCCAACATTTTCGAGTTAGTCAGACAACAATTATACTTTTCATTGTCACGGGAAATAATCTAACATTTTCTCATGTGCGCGAGCTTTGCCTTGCCGTTAGAATGCTAACAGTTACTTAACAAAACGTTTAGAAAATGTTTATTTTTCGCAAGTAAATGAAAGGTGACATTATTGAACAAGGTTTTTATAAATAATACCAAATCTAAGTATTTTTGGAGTGGAACTAATTATTTTTTCCAATAGTAGATAATCTAGTAATAGTTATTTTTTCTAAAATAATATTTCAAAAGTTATAAAATTGCACAATAAATTATTCTACACAATGGAACTAATTTATTTACTTCATAGCTTACTTTATTTTTTTTGTATGTTACAAATATTTTCTTGAACGATACATCGAATTGTTTTTTTGATATTATTATAATGTTATTTTAAAAAATGGTGCTGTAAGGCTTGTGAATATTTCTTGTTAACTTTGTATAAATGTTTTTTTTCAAAACAACATTACAACATTTGCAAAAATAACAAAATAATTTTTATCTGAAATGAAACTTTTATTTTTATAATTCACTATATTTTTCGTTGTATTGCAATTATTTTCATGAACAACAATCCGGAATGCTTATCGATAATCTTATATTACCTGTGTTATTTTTTAAAAAATGGCACTACAAAACATGTAAATATTTCTTGATAACTTTGTATAATTTTTTTTCTTGCAAAACAACATTACAACATTTGTAAAATCAACACAATAATTTTTCTCTGAAATGAATCATAACTCACTATATTTTTTGTTGTAATGCAATTTTTTTTATGAACAAAAATCGTAAATGTTTATCAATAATCTTATATTACTCGTATTATTTTTTCTAAAATGACACTATAAAACTTGTGATTTTTTCGATAATTTAATAAAAAAACTTTTCTTCAAAATGACAATTCAAAATTTGTGAAAATGACACAATATTTTTTTTCTTCAAAATGACACTAATTATTTTCATAACTCACTAGAATTTTTTTGTATTGCAATTTATTTCTCGAGTGATGCTCTGAATCATTTTTTAATAACCCAATTTTATTTTTCAGAACAGAATACAAAATTTGTAAATCGTTATATTTCTTTGAAAAAATTGAGACAAATCTTGAACATGAGTGTATTGCTATATTTTTAAAAGCATACATTTAAAATTACAAATTTAAAAAAGTAAATGTACCTAAAATAATCTCGTGTTTCATTTATTTCTGAAAAAAGACATTTTCCAAAAATCTCGTTAAGTGGTCATTAGCTTCTTAGGGCCTGTTCTTTAGAACTGGAAAAAAAGAGCTGGAAACTAGAAGAAATTGGAAGAAACTGGAAAAAACTAGAAGAAATTGGAAGGAACTGGAAGAAACCTGAAGGAACTGGAAGAAACTGGAAGAACCTGGAAGGAACTGGAAAAAACTGGAAAAAATTAAAAGAAACTGAAAAAACTAGAATAAGTTGTAAAATCTAAAAAAAGGTTTTAAAAATTTTTTATGTGTGGTTTTAAATTATTCTCATTCTGAATCTTGTTGATATAAATTATTATTATTGCTATAATAATAATAATAATTATTATTATTATTATTGTTGTTGTTGTTGTTGTTGTTGTTTTTGTTGTTGTTAGTGGTGGTGGTGGTGGTAGTGGTGGTATTATTACGTTATTTAAATGATTGTCTTTAAAATAAAAAAATATTACGAATATTATTTTCATACATAAAAAGATAGTTTAAAAAAAAATAATTAGAGATGAACTAGCATTTAATATTCTACAATGTAGTTAAACTTAATTGAAGGTACTATATTATAGATTAAACTATTGATGTTTACCTTATATAAATTTAGATTAAAAAATATTCTACTCCCTCCGTCCCAAATTATTTGCCACATTTGTATTCCCGAGGCAAAATATTAAATTTTTTCAATTCATTTTATTTACATATTGGTATAGAAATAAAAAATGAAATTTACATATTAAAAAACTACATGAAAAGTTTTTCGAAATAAGAGGTGTCAAGAATATTTTATTTATCAAATAATCAATGAAAACATCGAAATAAACAAAAGTTCCCGCGACTGTTGAAAAAGCAAATGTTGTGAATATTTAGGGACGGCAGTAGCATTGGCTCTTTGTGCGTCATTAGTCATTAGCTTGAGAATAGTATGAACAGATACTACCTTGTAATAGAGTCAATAGCATTCAAAAAAAAAGTTGAAGAAAAAAATAATGAATATGAATCATAAAAATAGTGAGATGACAAAATGAAATAATTTATAAACTATAGTTATCAACATAAAAGTTGTAATTTAAAAACTGTAAGAATAATAATAATATATTTTTTTGGAGTGATTTGTCAGAAAGTAGAAAGAATTTGAAGAAAATAAATATAGTTGGAAGAAATTAGAAGAAACTGGAAAAAACAAGAAAAACTGGAAGAAATTGGAAGAAACTGGAAGAAACTGGAAAGAACTGGAAGAAACTGGAAGAAACTGGAAGAAACTGGAAAAAACTGGAACTTAAAAGTTTAAGTCCAAAAGAACAGGCCCTTAATGGTGATCCAAAACTTGTAAAATGTAGAAATGTGAGATTATTTTCAGTGACAATAAAAATTTGGGTTATTTTTAAAAAAACATGATATACTTAAATTATTTAATACTTCGTATAAGTTTTTCTAATTTAATCATACATTAATTTTTTTTCCTACTAAAATTAATCCAACCAGGACTTTCTTTGGCCAATTCTCCGGTCCGAACCATTGAACAACCGAACCCGCCCAATATGAGATGCTCCCAGATCGGTCCTCCGTAAAAGGCGGAAATACGTTTCGGGGTGCCATCGGTAGGACTCGGATCCGACAGCTGCCTAAAGTCTCTAGATCCTTCTGGAATTCGCACCAGATAGAGCCGACGAATTGGCTGAGCGCGCATCTCTCATTTCGTTCGCGGATCTGTAACTCCCGAGTCTACCGGCGGATAATCGCCATGGCCGACGAGCAGAAGCATGAAGGTCCAAGCACAAGTACTGGTTCTGAAGGAAGGTCCGAATCCATTGTGAATATCAATATCAAGACCTTAGATTCTCAGAATCACGCCTTTGAAGTGGACTCTAATGTAAGTTTCTTTTCCATTTAATTTCCTGCTTGTTCCGTGCTTTGAAGTTATTCATTGCCTGTGTAATCTCAAAATGGCGATCTCAGAGTTGTATAAAGGCTAGTCAAACCGGGGATACTTCTTGTGTGCGCGCCTTGGATGAGGAATTACTAGTCGTGCTTCATAATTTAATCATTGCCTGTGTCTCAAATCTAATCGTTGCTTGTGTTTCCATGGATTTAGATGCAAGTTTCTGCGTTCAAGGAAAAATTAGCAACTCGACTTGGTGTCCCTGTTGCACAGCAACGTCTGATTTTCCGTGGGAAAGCTCTGATGGACGATCACCTTCTTTCTGAATACAGTATCCACTCAATTTGATATTGACAAATCTGCTTGTGATTGGATTTCTGGTGTGAAAAAGCACTGAAATAGCGATATCTATTTACTTTTTTTTTCAGAACACCAATGTTTATGATATTTTTGAGCATCTCCGGTGCTCTTTTTCAGTTGTGCTAAATTATTTGCCTCATAGACATAACCAGATAGGTTGTGTGAAAAGATCTTAAATACATGCTTTACCCTATGTTTGGTTCAAGAGTTTTGAAAGGGAAAAGAAATGAAAATAAGATGGAAAACAATTTTTCTTGTTTGGTTAGAGAGGAAATGAAAAGAAAAGTGGAAGGAAAAGAAATCAAGAAGGCAAAATGTACTTAGAGGAGCAAAAACAAAATTCATTCCATTTTGGTGAGGAAAGTGAGAGAAATCCATCTTCTTTTTCTTTCCTTCCAGATTTCTCGAGCCAAACATAGTGTTATGGACTTCTTGTAGTCCATCCATCCTGAAATATTGTCGTTTATGATGGTTGACGCAAGTTGTTTGTCAATTCAATTTATTTGAAAAATAGTGAATATTAGTTTGTCCTATAAGAACTGTATATTGGGACAGAGAGAGTAAATTTTTTCCTAGTTTGGGTGGTATCAAATTGTGCCTGTGTAGGGATGTGTGAATGAAGTAATTCACAGTGGCAAAATGAAAGTCAAGCTAGGGGTACGTGAGAAAGTGAATAAATAACTTGGTGGTCATCTTCTCTAAAGACCTTAAAGTCACATGATAAGTATCAGCTATATTTAAAAAAAATTGTATAGTTAATTAATTAGTCACTGCAATCTATATTTGCATCGGAGAACACATTTTTATATTGATTGTCTATCTTGTCAAATTTAAAACATATTACTACGCATATCATCCACATTAATGACATGTCTCCTTTCATATTACACACTTACTATTTAGAAACATGTTTATGCATTGACTTAATGTTGCCGTGATTTAGACAGACCACTTAGGGAACTACTCTTGGTTTTGTGCTGAGGTGTACACCCCTATGAATTTGTTATGCACCTATACTTATGCAAGTTTTCATGCTTCTTTGTCTCAAGTTTATTTTTGTCTATGTAACTTCAACTGGTTATCTTTGTAGTTTCTTGACAACTTTGCTCCTATAGATTTGGAGCATGGAGACACACTGCACTTAGTAATCAGACAGCCTTCTCAATCACAATTCTCAGCCACTGCAAGCAATGGGGAATCTGCTCCGAGTATTGGTGTTAGAGGTACTGATTGTTCCCAACCACTTGCTTTCCATGTGTAGAAATGTAGAATACTCAATGCGATTTTATCTTGTTATTTTTTCAACTCTGTAGGACAAGAACCTACTACTAGTGGACCTCGCGCTCGTGTTGGACACTTTTCACAGAGTGTAGTATTAGGCACTTTCAATGTTGGTGACCAAGGACAAGGCCTTGTTCCAGATCTAAATCGGGTTCGTAGCATCAATATGTATTTGTTTTCGTTTTTGTGTTTCAGGTCAGCTTACATTGACATGTTTTAACTGTTGACAACATATTCTTTCTTTCCTTCTAGGTTATTGGGGATGCTCTGAGCTCTATTGGACTTGGGAACCAGATTGGTGGCCACCATCCTGGCATGCAGGTCAGTTATTTATTCCGCTATACCTTACATTGGTTTCAGCTACACACTTATACATAGTGTTTGTTTAATGTTAGCTTTTGTGATTAATATTAACGTTTTTGATATTTTTATAATGGTGCAAATTAATTTTTATAACATTACAACTAAAAACTGTTGTTGTATAGCCTTTTGGAAACGCTAAAACTAATTTGAAAAAGACACATGGTGTCTTTGCTTAATTGAATCCTGAATACTCCATCCGTCTCGTAATTAAGTTCATTGTTTGACTTATTTAAGGGAAGGGTTGAAAAGTGAGAAGTATGTGGTTAGAATATATGTATAGAAGAAACAAAACTCTCTTAGCCACATATTCCTTTCCATAAAAGAAATATGAAAAGATGTTAAGTTTATCTTGGGACAACAAAAATGGAAATTGTGAAGTTAATTGTGGGGCGTAGGGAGTATGTTTTGTATTGCATCTATTCATATAAAGGCTTGTGTAGGCATTTTATACTTTCATTTCTTTATGACCTATCATATGCTGTATTTATATAAAGGCTTGTGTGTCCTAGCCCTAATTCTAAAAAGCATGCCTTTTAGGTTGTATGTATGACACACATTCCTTTTATGAATATATATATATATATATATATATATATATGGGCTGGTTCCTGTGAGAATGCACCTTGTGGAGAGAAATGAGAATGAAATCTAGCCGTTAGATCTGATGCATCGTGCGGCTCAGATTGCATCTTGCGCTCAGGTTTTGAGATAGTGCATTTTCAAAGGATTATGTTGCATTTCGTCGTGATGCATTTTCCAACCATTTTGTTGCATCTAATTTTGATGCAATCCTGACCCTTAGATCGCACAATCTAAAGCACCAGATTCATTCTCATTTCTCTCCTAAGATCGCATTCTCACCAGAACCAAAATCTATATATATATATATATATATATATGTATATGTATGTATGTGTGTATGTGTGTGTGTCTATATATATATATATACATATATATATATATATATATATGTATATATATATATATATCTGTGTGTGTGTGTTTGTCTAAATGTGTGCGTGTGTGTAAACTAAATAAATGTGTATGAATGTGTTGAGATGCAGCACATTCTTTCCAATTTGTAGCAAAAATGCATGTGACTAGGATAGGAGGATTCATTATATTTTAGATGCTTTGTGGATATATTTATACTCCGTAATAACTTCTAGAGTTGTATTAGTCTTTGAGATGCAATACACATTCGTGTAATTTTGTGCATTTAGAAATTTCCTATGGATTTGATGTAGGTAATTTGTTTTGTGAACAGGTTAATGCTCCCAATTCTTCCCCACAAGGAAATGAAGCACAAAATGTACCAAGAAATTCTGGTTCCCAAAATCAGCACTGGCAGCCAGGGCAACCATTTCCTAGTCAAAGTGGAGGCATTCAAATCCCTATTGGAGCAGCGATATCTATTCCTTCACTGATGGTAGAAACAAATTAAAATACCATTGAGCATCAACATTATTTTTCAAACCAGATGTTTTAAAACCCTAACATAGTTTTCTGTTTGTTTTTGTTTTTCTTTAGCCAATTCCAGACTCTCTGCACACGCTGACAGAGTTTATGAATCACATGGAGTCTGTACTATCCCATAATGGTAAGGGTTTGCTCTTATTTTATTTGACAAATCTTTCTAGTAGTCTTACTTATCATTGGCCCCCTCTGTTTCCAAATACAACAGCAAGTCAGCCAAACCAGTCAACTGCCAATTCATCTGGTACAGCATTGCCTACAAATTCTCGTGGTCAGTCAACTCCAGAGACACTGCGCATGGTTTTACGGCATACAGAGCGTCTAGTTGGAAGCCATGTTACATCTGCATTATCCGTATGTAACTTTTAATTTAATATTGCAATTATGAAATTTATACTGTTTTTCCATTTTTTACTGGTTATCATCAAATTAGAATTACTACTGTAACCTGCACCTCATCTTTCTAGGCGCTAGGGATAGATTAATAAATAGTATCTTTTTTCTCATTGCTTTTGCAAGAGCCAAGAGGAACGCTCAAAATTGTGTTTTGCTAGGTGCATAGGTTATATGGCAAGTTTATATGCGGATGTAGTTTGTTAATTTAATTGGATTCTCCCATTACTAGTGTATTTTGACTGTTGAGCTGTTGAACTTTTTTAATGACTCTATTATATTGTTAATGCATCATTGTTCCTTGGTGCAATCACATCTATGACCTCTTCTCTATTATCTTGTTTAATTGAAGTGTTGAACTTTGTGCACCTTGGGTTTTATATCTCATTTTGATTCATTAGGGAAAATGTATTTTGCAAAAAAATATTATGAATCAATGGTTTTAATACTTCTATGATAGTTTGACAGATAATTGCTTACAAATTGATTTTCTTTAGACTCTTGCATTACTTAAGATTGTCTTCTGAGTTGGTGTTTATACTCTGCTACTGCTGCAGCGCATTGCAGGACGTTTGGAGCAAGATGGGAATTCAACTGACCTTACAGTAAGAGGACAAATACAGGCAGAATCTGTGCAATTAGGTCTTGCAATGCAGCACTTGGGTGCTCAGTTCCTAGAGCTTGGAAGGACAATGTTGACATTGCGTATGGGACAGTCTCCTGTATGTGATTTTCCATCTTTGATTTTTTCCATTTCTGGTTTTGTATTCGCGTGTACAAGATGATTCATGTACAACTCTTCTGTTGTTTTGTACAGGCTGAATCTTCAGTCAATGCTGGTCCTGCTGTTTACATTTCTCCATCAGGGCCAAATCCCATAATGGTTCAGGTGTGGTGGCAGCTTGCATTATTCTTTAAATCACATGTAGTATGGTTTTTTAATATTTTGAGTTTCTGTCCTCTGTTGCAGCCTTTTCCTCTTCAAACATACTCTCTGTTTGGTGGCTCTACATCCGGCCCACCTAATCCAATAGGAGGTGGCTTCAGTCCTTTTGGAATTGGCCACACAACAAGGAATGTAAATATACACATACATACTGGTATGAACTACTATTTTTTTTAGTATGCATGCATTTGTTCATAATTTTTTTGGGTAGGTGGGTTTGAGCTAAGAGGATTTACCGCTCATCCTTCTGTTTGAACTTTTTTGGCATTATTTTGTGTAGTTGGTGCTAGACCAACCAATTTAGGTGGAACTGAAGGTGATCAAGCCAGTGGGACTGGTACTGGTGATTCTAGTCAATCCAGAGCTCCACCAAGAACTAATGCTGGAGCTGCTGATCCATCAAGAGCTCACATGCCCTTTTCTGGTGCTTCACAAGCTGGTACAATTTCCATGCTTTGAGATGGTGTTTGTTTCATTTTTGTTAAATGTTGTGGATTTGGGGAAGTATGCAAGAGACCCTAACCGTTGAAAATGCTTAAGGAGTATAATACTGGCATTATATATATATATATATATATATATACATACATACATACATAACTACATATATATACATTACAGTCATACATACAGATATATATAAATATATATGAAATTAATTAAGCTTATGCTCTGGTTTTTCCTCACAAAAATATTTAATAAAATAAGTTCCTCAAGAAGATTTTCTTCTGTTTTGCACTGGAATTTTTTTTCTTACGGAAAAAGTTTTCACTGATTCTCCGAATCATTGTGGAAAATTAGTGTAAGTTTTGCCAGAAATATCTATACTGTACATAAAACATTTCCCACCACAAGCTATTTCCTTCAAGCACATGGAAATTGCCTATAACAATGTTGTATTTCTATTCTCAAATCCAATGCTGTACTCTAAAACTTTGTGATTGGTACATCGGTGAATTATCTGTTCTTTTTGATGCTTTTTAATACAAAATGATTATAAATAAACAATAGCTGCATTATAATGCTCTCTTTAATGAATTGCTCTAATGCATTCAAGGTCAACCTGAAAGCACAACCGTTCTGGACCAATCTATGTGTTCAGATGCTGAAACTGGAACTAGGAAGTCTAGCGAACATCTGGTCTGTGATTTCTAATACTCCATAGCAGTTTCTTTGTCATTTGTGTTACTACTCCCTCCGTCCCAATTTAAGTTGTTTACTATTCACAGGGTCAAACTTTAATTATGTTTTTGACCAATTTTCGCAACCATTTGAGAATATAATATAGTCTTGTGACTCTTGTCACATCTTGTATTGTAAAACTTTTGACGTAGTGTATAAATGTATAAATTATTATTTTTTGATTTTTTACCAATTTTCAAATAAATTGAGTTGAAATTTACTTCAGCCGCACACAACAATAGGCGACTCTTTTTGGGACGGAGGGAGTATAATATTAGAAGTATTGATTTAAGACATTTGCCGGATACACGATGATTTCAGCAAATGTCAAATGAGCCGAATGAGAGTGCTGCAGGAGGTTCTCAGGGAATGAATCACTCTGGTAGCTCATCTACTGCTCCTATTGGACTGGGGATAGGGGATTTGCAGCCTAAGGTTAGCAAGTACAGTTCTATCATGTTTATTCTATGTAGTGCTGCTAGGTATAGCTATACTTGCTCCATCCCCAAATAGAAGTCCCAGGTTGACTTCATGGAGTTTAAGAAAGTTGTTCAAAAGTGAAGTGTGTGGATATAATTTTTTTAGAGGAGAGAGAAATGTTGTAAGCCACTTATTCTCTTCCTTTGATGAAAAAAAAGAGGTGGGAACTGGGAAGTTTATTTTGGGAGGGGCAAAAAAGGAAAGTGAGAATTTTATTTGGGGGAGGGAGTATATTTTGTTTGTTTAGGTCTAGCTTCAAAGCGAACTATATTAAATATCTTATCAATGATCTGTGGCTACTGATTTTTAACTGTTAGAAGTATTGAATTAAGACATTTTCCGGATACACGATGATTTCAGCAAATGTCAAATGAGCTAAATGAGAGTGCTGCAGGAGGTTCTCAGGGAATGAATCACTCTGGTGGCTCATCTACTATTCCTATTGGACTGGGGATAGGGGATTTGCAGCCTAAGGTTAGCAAGCGCAGTTCTATCATGTTTATGCTATCTAGTGCTGCTAGGCATAGCTATACTTGCTCCATCCCCAAATAGAAGTCCCGGGTTGACTTCATGGAGTTTAAGAAAGTTGTTGAAAAGTGAAGTGTGTGGATATAATTTTTTTTTATAGAGGAGAGAGAAGTCCCTACTGCTGTGGGATTCACCTGGGTTGTTGTTGTTGTTGTTGTTGTAGGAGAGAGAAGTGTTGTAAGCCACTTATTCTCTTCCTTTGATCAAAAGAAAAGAGGTGGGAACTGGGAAGTTTGTTTTGGGAGGGGCGAAAAAGGAAAGTGAGAATTTTATTTGGGGGAGGGAGTATATTTTGTTTGTTTAGGTCAAGCTTCAAAGGGAACTATATAAAATATCTTATCAATGATCTGTGGCTACTGATTTTTAACTGTTAGGTTCATAATCTAATGGTTATGATCATTGTGACTGCAGTTAATGTGTTTCCGTTGGTATAAGTAAAAGTCTGAACATAATGTGTGTCTGTGTAGGAATGGCTTCCATGCCTATTGGGCATGGTTCCTGTCAAGATTTTATTGGTTGTGCATTTCACTTTTTAGAACAATTTGCAACTAATCAAGCCCTTTTTCACTCACATTTTCACACACCCACACCCTCATACACACGTATAAGGTTATCATAAACAAATCTTTGGGCTTCCATAAATAATTTTTTATCATAATACATGTTTTTTTATTGTCACATTCAGTTTTTTTTAATGAAATTAGTGGTGCTCAGTTAGGCGTATTAATTTTTTGTTGTGATCCGGTGTAGGTTCTATTTTGCAGTTCGCGCTCCTGCATATGCACTTTATATTTTTAATTTGGAAAATTCACATTCTATTTGGCTGTTATCAATAGGTGATTAAAATTCTCTTTAGGTGCACACTTCTATGCCATCTGAAATTGGGGCCAATGCTTTTAGTCGAATATGGTATTTGCACCCCCATGGTTTACCTGTTTACCAGTGTTTGTATCTGAGCCAGGGATCTCTTGGAAACAACCTCTTTACTTTATTGTAGGGGTAAGGTCTATGTGCACACACCCTCCCTAGATGCTACTTTTGGGGAATTCTACTAGGATTGCTTTTGTTGGTTTACCAATATTTGAACTCGCCCTCTAGTTGGGGCAAACTTAAATGTTGAGGTAAATCATGGGGTGCGAAAGCTAACGAATGGGGTACAAAGTCTAGTAGCAGTGACTAGTGTTTGGTGCCACTAATTGCAAAGTAAATGAAAATAAAACATGGGATGTGAAGTCCAATATTGGGCATACCTTGGGGGTGGATACTGAATTGCCTTTATTTTAATGCTGCAGTAGTGGTGTTTACTCTTTTTTTCTTCTTTTGTTCACCGGTGGAATCAGAGACGAATTAGGCAATCCAAATCACAGGCAAGAAGTGCTGATACTGCGGCTTCCTCCTCCAGTCAGGATGAACAATCTGTGAGAGATGGACAACAGATTCTGCAATCCCTTGCATCTCTGAATCCAGGCCTGCCCTCCCACCCGGCCAGGGGCACTACATATAATTCCAGCTTTGGAGGGAATGAGCAACCTGCCATTTCAAATGTGATGTCACAAATGCTTCAGAGCCCGGCTTTAAGCAATTTATTGGGAGGGATCTCTCAACAAACTGCTCTCGGTTCTCCTGATGCCTTAAGGAGTATGATGCAGCAAGTAACACAGAGCCCAGGGCTGATGAACACCGTCAACCAAATCGCACAGCAGATTGACCCACAAGATCTTGGAAGCATGATTTCAGGTTTGCGTGTGGGCCAGGGCGGCGGCAGCAGTAGTGTTGATTTTTCCAGTATGCTTCAGCAATTGATGCCACTTGTCTCACAAGCTCTTGGTGGTGCTTCAATCCCAGCAGCTTCCGAACCAGCTCCAAGAACAGAAATCAGGCAGAGTGATATTGGTTTGACCAGAGATGAGACGATGCCCACCGATCAAAGTTATCAGGTCTGTACCTTGTCTTAGAAGTATAGGCCTCGTTTGGATTATATTGGTGGAATCTTCATTATTCTTTTTAACCAATGTCAACATGGATATCAACTCTATCTGTTGATATTTCCATAAGATTAGGGTCTGATTGAAACCTAGAAAATGCTAGGGAGCTAAGATAGAGATGAAAGGAGATATTCAATCAATGATTCAATTTGTATTCCCTCTGTTTTGCATTTAAATTCTCAAGTTGACTTATACAGAGTTTAGGAAAAGATGAAATTGCTTTTTTGAGATCTATACAAGAGGAGAAAAATAGTATGAAACTATGAACCACACAATCTATTTATTTTCGAGTATACAATATTTATTCTCGTATTATGTAAAGACTAAGAAATCTAAATACAAGTAAAAAACAATGTAAGTTGTTTTTCTCTAATATGATTTCCTTGATATTTTTTCATGGTAAAACCAAGCATTTAGCTTGGAAAACCAAATACTTGTATAATCAAACTTGCTCTTCTGTTCTATTTTGAACCTTGCATTTGAATCGCCACCATTTGAGTGTAGCAGGCAGGACTCCAAGACGTGGCTAGAAGGATTGAAAACGGCAACCCCCCCGAAGACATATTTCGCTCCATAGTTGAAAATGCTGTCCAGGCTCATCCCGGTGGAAGCAGCGACGAGAATGAGAATCTCGTGAATGATTTGTGCAGTACAGAAGGCCTTGCGAATGTGAGTATTATTATTGTAATTGTTGTTGTTGTTGTTATTATTATTAGTCAATCTTTATTACAATAACAACTCAGTTGAATCCCATGAAGAGTAGGGTCGGGAGAGGCTATGTGTATGCAGACCTTACACCCACTCGAAAGTAGGGAGGCTGTTTTCGAGATATTTTAAAGTTTAAGACGCTAAGAGGGTGTTTGGAACCAGTTCAAATTCTCTGGAAGTGATTCTAATGCATCACTTCGATATGATCTAAATCTGAAGGTTGTATCAAAATGGTGTACTGTTTGCCCTTAAAAGTAATCTATCATGCTCCCTAATATTTAGAGGGCTTTTGGGATTGCATTTGAGAACAACTTTTGAGTTTCTATTTCATCAAAATACAATTCTGAGCAACAATATACTTTATTCTTTCATCTCAAATCACAAAAACTCAGTCTTGAGACTCCATTTGCATTGCACAAAAAAGCTGCAATGACGCATGCAAACCCTGCAGAATCACTTCTTCCAAACAACCTCTAAATTGAGCATTTGTGGCTTTTTGCAGGAATTTATGGAGGTTCTGCAACAAGATGTTTCCCGGCGTCTTAGGGATGAAGCAAAGCCCCCCAGAAAGCCGTAAGTTAGAATCATTAGATTCTAGCATTTGCATCCCCACATGATGCTTCAAGGTAATGGTTTGTGGTACCGACCCCCCCCCCCCA